ATTTACATTTATGTTGGATCGGACCGTACGACCTCGGCGTGAGTTGCGCATGCTTGAATTGCTTGTCTTGAGATCTATTGATATTGCTCTCTGCTCTCCCGACTTGAGATAATTGTTAATTAATGGATTATGTAATAAAAAGGACCTTTCACCTGTTTAGTGACTCATTTAAATCTTACTGTTGTCTTAATAAATCCGTGAGTCATCGCATTAATAATATTATTACTGGACCTTTAGTAAGTGTCGAAGTTTCCATCTCGTCTCTACTTCTTCGAGATTAGGCGGGATACTTACTGAGTACACATTGTTTTCGTACTCATACTGCACTTCTGTGCATTTTTGTTGCACAGGCACATGCATCTCTAGTGGCCTAGTGGGCGTAGCAGCATGGTTGACACGGAGACTAGGTGAGCTGTATTTCCTCGAGGCGACCCGCAACTAGTATAGTCCCTCTCAGGATTCTATTTATTTTCTATCCAATTGTATTCCGGACAACTGTTGTACTTTATTCGATTTTTCTTAGAAATTGTTCATGCACTTATGACACCGGATTCTGGGATGGTTATGAAGTATTTTGTATTAATTGCTTATCATTTAATTTGAATTGAGGCGATTATCTTTTTAATTGGTAAATTTGGAGGACAATCATAGATTTCAAGAGTATTAAAACGAAAATTTAATTAAGTATTTTTGGTTGGCTTGCCTGACAGTGGTGTCCGGCGCCATCACGAACCTTAGTGGATTTTGGGTCGTGACATTGAGAACCCATCTTTGTGCGTTATGGTGCTAATTAAAATATACACCGCACATCAACAATAATAAGATGGAATTATTTGGTTCCTGACCCTGAACCACTTGTGAGGGGAGAAAATAATATACTTTCGTATATACCGTATATCAAACTGATATATATAACTTTGTTCTCATAAGCAATAGTTTAGCTATTAAGTGGAGGCACTCAATAAATTATTTTGCTAAACCAACTATGATGTAAACTAACTTATCAAGAAGAACTATCTTGAATAAAAAATCTGAAAACTATGCTCTATATTAAATTATTGAGCAAGTTTGCTCGCAAACACCAGGTTGCGGGTCAATAATAATTGCACATGTAAGCATCTCATTGATGCATCTTATGTGGTATACATGGCAGGTGAATGGGCCCATATTCACCTTTGATATTTCCAGCATTCGTGGGATTCAATCCCAATTTTAGTAGGTATATTAATTAATGAGAACATGCAACATAAGAGAATTCGTAAAGAACTTTCTAGTTCTTTAATACTTACCTACGTGAATTCTCTTTTATTTTTGCACATCATACTTAAATTGATATGGGTAAACCAATTATGCCAACTGAATAAATTATCAATATTGATAAACTTCAGATTTACACCATGACTTGTGCAATTATCAATAAACTCCAAGTTTATTATGATATGAGTTTTTATATCAATAAACATCCACTATATTGTGGTATTCTTTTATTTGTGCAGTACAAATTGGAGAATAAAGCGGGTAGCTTTTCACGTACATATTACCCCGCTACAAGTTGTAGTAATTTCCTTTATTTATAGTCTCAGTATGACCAACCGCTTTCGGGAATACTTTAGAACTCAATTAAGTTTCTTTGAGACTTACTACAACGCAATGACTTATCGGTAATCAATTGTGTTTCTCCAAAACAGTATAATTGGCTCTTATAGAGTTCTCAATTTTTGTACTATCACATATTCATCATCATCCATATGGTGAATATCTCTTTTAAGGAGAAAGTTATACCATTATGGTTATGGTCAAAATTATATACAAGATATGTTTCTTGCATTAATGTTATTCTTTAATAATCACATTACCAAAATATTTTAGCGTGCAATAGGTACGTGATCAATGACCATTCATGCCATAATAATGACATTATTTTCTTATATCATCTCAAACCTCCTTCTAGAGGTGAGTGTGGTATATTCACTACCACTAGCACGTTCATATTCTTTGAAGAATGAATATGTATTCATAAATCAGATGTTGTCACATTCACATCATGAATTGACCATAGTCATCTGTATGTGCTTTACGAAATCTTATGTCAAATCGATGACAAACATTAACTTCATAGAGTGAAGGCTTATTTTGAGAATTCTTATTATTCTCATTATCACAATGATGACGATTATAATTTCGTCTAATACCACGTCTACATCCATTGATACCTTCACGGTAATAATTTTGTCTTCTTTCAGACTTATCACATACTGCTATCACATTCTCTTAAGGGAATGAGAATGAAGCAAATTCAATGGGACGGGTATGCACTTCTTGTGCCCATAATCATACATAAATTTGATCATGGCAAGACATAGAAATTTTACCACTTCGAGTGGTTATAATTTCTTACTAACTCCATTCGAGTTAATCAAATTTTATTGTCTTTGCTTGTATTTAAAATCAAATTATAAAATGTCAAGAATCTAAAAGAGAAAAATAAAGTAAGATACTTACCTTAAATCCAGAATTTAATCATGAAGGAAGTTCATGGAACAATTGACAATCATTATGCTCAATCCCAAAGCTTCTACTCAATAGGTTAGAGTCTCGTGCTGATAACGTGTTATAAAACAATAAAAGAAGAAGAAGAGTATTGCAAAGAAAAGTAGGGAGAGAGAATTCTTATTGAATTTTGGGATGAATTACAATGGAATAGAACCCTCTATTTATAGGGAAAGTGATTTAGCCACCAAGTAATAATCCCTAAAATCTCTCTAAATATAAACATTTACTATAAATAAAATTCTATTTATAACATAGACAAGTTTTTTCAATGTTTCCCAATTTCATTGTCAAATTAGTGTTATGCATATTGAACTTCCTATATACTTCAAAAGGAGGTTTTGGGGTTGTTATTTCAGTAAAGTGTCTTCCCATTTTTCACATCACTATTTAGTGGACCATCTTACCTCAAAAAATAAATTTTTAATTAATTAAGACTGGTCGTGAATGGATCTCAAAAAGAAGGGAAACATTATCTGTACTAGAGGTGGTGGATTTATGTCAGTTGTCACATTTTTGCGTAACGGACTAAATTAAAGGCTGCCACCAGTAGAACAGTACGGCATTGCCATTGCAATATAGGATAAACTATGCAATCGCACTTCATTGTTCCTATTTATATCAAGTTGGGTATAGTTTTAGATCGGAAGTTACTTTTGGAACTTGAAATGTCTATTCCAAAGATATGGTCAGAAAGTCCGATATGATCACCCTCGGGGCATCTCCGGTCCTGCCCCATTTCTTTATAATGGAGCTATTTTTGTCAAAATGTGGCTCCAATACTCTCCATTATTGCCCCCAAAATGAGGGATAAATAATGTTACTTTAAATATGGAGTGACAGTATTCATTCTTACTTTATTATTATTTTTATTATTTAACGCTTTTAATTTATCTCTTTATATATGCCTAATTATGTTTAATCAATATCTTTATATATTAATTTTACATCTTAACTTTGGCGTATAATTTTGATAAATTAATTTTCGTGCATTTATTATTTTTATGTAAAATTGTAAGTTAATTTTATTATAAGTTATAATTGAACAAAAAATATATAATCATACCAAAAAATGAATGGTGCGAATATAAAATACTAGATGTTGCTAAAATTGAAAGGTGCGAATATAAAATATTAGATGTTGCTAAAATTGAAAAGTGAAGATTGAAAAACATTAAAATTGGAAATACATGAAAATTGTACATTATACATAAAAATTAGAATCTACGGTAAATAGCATAATAATTTAGTAGGGAGGTATGTCGTTTTCAGATACACCACCATGATAATCGAAATGAGCGTGATCTTAATGCACCAATTCAAGATGATTTGGAAGGTCCACCTCCAACAGTAGAAATGGCAATAGATGAAAATCAACGATTTCAAGAATTTTAGCTCGACATAGAAGAATTAAGGACAAAGATACTCATTTTGCACTTCGTAATGCATTAATAGATCATTTATGGGAGAATACTATAGGTTAAAGTTGAATATTTATGTAGTATTTCGAAAGAATTTTATCGTTATGTAATATGTATTTAATTAATCTTGTATCGCAATGATTTCGCTTTTATTTAAATTATTAGTTAATCTATAATAATTGCATACAATTTATATTATGTAAAATTTTATGGAATTATTTTAATTGAAATTATAAATTAATGAAAATGAAAGATGGTATTTGTTTAATGGAAATTAAAAAATAAAATTGAAATGGAAGAAAATAATATAATCTAGAAGAGAAAGAAGAATATAAAAAAGAATATTCTCTTTTGGGGAAAAAATGGAGGAATGGTTGGAGTAAGTTATCCCAATATGGGGAAATCCCCAGTTTGGAAATCAAAATGGGGGTAAAGGTTGGAGATGCCCTTAGCACAGAAAATTACTAGTTGAATAACACTTTTTTTGTGTGATTCCCCTCCTCTTTGGTTCTCTTTGATTCCCTTTGTTGGAGTTATTGCTCCATTGGTAATTCGAACAGTCGAACCCGTAATCCCGGAGTTGGAGATAGAAGGTGCAGAGCTACCCCTCTTGTCTATTGCACTCAATTAATTGGAGCACTAAGAATGAATTTAGAAAAATAAAATAATAAATGCTCTTCTAGCTGAAATAGAATATGTCTCTAAGTTTCATAGTTTCAACTTCCCGTTAAATCCTTTTTACCTCATTTACCGTCAAATATTACTAACAGAATTTGTTAAATATTTATCGGAGATAAAAACATGATCATATTAAGTGAATTTAAAGGACTAAAACTGCTCAAAATATATCTAAAGGACTACTTTAAAGCTACCCCAAAGCCTAAGCCACTATTTTTGCCATTTTCTCTTTAAAGTTAATTCATATGCATTGAGGACCATTTTGGGGGTAAAAACCAAAAGGACTCAACCAAAAAAGAAAAAGTAAAAGGAGACCCAAATACAACCTTTCCCCTGCTATATATCACTCCTCAGTCTCCTATTTTGTTCCTCCAACTCTACAAAACAGAGAGAGACAGAGAAATATGGCTCAGATGAGCCTATTCATCCAATAGCTTTTTTCTTGTACGACAAGTGAAGTAAATGAAAATTCAACCATCCGTCTTCTTCACTGAAGAAGATGGCTCACCATTACAATCAACCGCAACACCAAAAGCTTCCATTTTTACTAGATTCTTTGTATTGCAAAGATGAAAGTTTGGACGCGTTAGACAGAGAAAATTGTTTAACAGAGGAAGTAGAAGTAAACCCCAACTCCATTTCTTTGTTAGAACAAGACTTGTTATGGGAAGAGGAAGAGTTAAGCTCTTTAATGTCCAAAGAACAAGAGAATCAAATGTCTAATGTTGTAATAAACAACCCATATTTGTCAGTAGCAAGAAGAGAGGCAGTTCATTGGATTCTTGAAGCCATTGCCTATCATAATTTCTCTGCTCAAACTGCAATTCTTGCTGTAAACTATTTTGATAGATTTCTCTTCAGCTTTCAGTCACAAAGTGAAAAACCATGGATGAATCAACTTGCTGCTGTTTCCTGTCTTTCTTTAGCTGCAAAAGTTGAGGAGATACAAGTGCCTTTACTTCTTGATCTCCAAGTATGTTATATTAGAAAATCTTCAATGCTTGTTTTTTTAAAAAAAATTGAATATTGGGGGTTATTGATTTGGTGTTTTCTTGATATTTAGGTGGAGGAATCAAGATACTTGTTTGAGCCAAGAACAATTCAAAGAATGGAGCTATTAATACTTTCTACTCTCAAGTGGAAGATGAATCCAGTAACCCCATTTTCATTTCTTGATTACTTCTCCAGAAGGCTTGGATTCAACAATCACATTTGCTATGAATTACTTAGAAGATGTGAGAGGGTGCTTCTATCCACTATTACTGGTAAGCATATGATATGAAAATAAATGTTCACACTTGGTTCTCCATTATTTAATATTCATAACTTATTATAAAAAAAAAATTGGCAGATTGTAGATTCATGTGCTATCTTCCTTCTGCTGTGGCTGCTGCTACAATGTTACACGTCATTGATAGGCTAGAGCCCTGCATTGAAGAAGAGTACCAAGAACAACTTTTGGGTATACTTGGAATAGTAAAGGTTAGTATATATAGTTCTTAATTCTTGTCTTAAATCTTTTCCTAATTCGTTGTACTAGTTGGGATCCAATAATTTGGTTCTATCTCTTTGTACATATATTTATATATATAGAGAGAGTTAGACATACAACTCACATACAACTCACAACGTTTAAATTGTGGGAAACAGGACGATGTGACGGATTGTTATAGGCTAGTCCAGGAGGTGGCTTCCAATATTGATTTCAACTCAAACAAACGAAAGTCAATTGGTGCCTTGCCAGGAAGTCCCGTAGGAGTTATGGATGTGTCATTTAGTTCTAATAGTTCTCCAGAGCCATTATCAAAGAAGATTAGAACACAAACGTAGTTTGTGAAAAAGAAAAAAAATGTTGCATCGGACGCGAGATGATAAAGAGAGAGCTTTCTCGTTACGTGGCGAAAGTCGAGAAGACCATGCAGCTAAAGTCAGTCAATAATTAGATTCTCAAATTTGTTTGTGGATTAATCATTCCTTAGAAGACTTTTGATAGTCAATTAGTTACACATCTATTCTGTCCAATAACATCATGTTCTTCTTACAATTCACAAGTTAAATTGCTCATCATATTTCCATATGAAAATTGACTCTTATTGGACAGTAGAGGTAAACATGGCCGGCATTTATTTGGAGGAAATTTAAATGCTCATGAACAGAGAATTAAAACTAAATTCATGTCTATTCATCTCTGTATAAACTTTTTTTTTGGTCGAATATTCGCATAGCTTTAATGAGTAACAGGCTGTTATCGGTTCACGGGTTCAGTATGTTATTATTCATGACCATATGAATTGAAATTTATTACTCTATTTCTGCTAATTTTAAGGAAAGAGATATGTATTGATAAAAATATCAAAATAGGGTAAAGGATGGATTTTGTTCTCATGTGGAGTGAAGAACTTGTTGTCGGCCACTGATTTCTGTGGGAGTTGGATCTGCAATATTTTTGGTTTGACCTCGTTGGAAGAGCTAGTCTCTTTTATGACTTTTGTTTTTCATATCGCCAGGTCTAAAAGAGCTTACTAAAATTAATAGTTCTTATATATAAATACATATATAATGAATTTAGGCCATATACAAATGATATATGTATCAAGAATCTGAAATTAGCAATAACCAATGATATATGTTATGCCTTTTAGTATAAAGGGATCATTCAATCTTCGGGCTAGATGGAATTGGAGCTAGCTACTCATCATTCTCTCTGATCTAATTATTTATTAGCTATTTGAGGTCAGAAATGAAAATACAATTCATCCATAGACAATTAATCAATGAAACAAAGATGAGGTAACTTTTCTCTTGTTGGTAGCAGAAAAGACCTCCACTAGAAATCTATACCATGTGCCGCCTTTACCACTTCAAAATAAAGAATCACAACTGGGTTTTCCTCTTTTATTTTTCCTTTCACTATTTCAAAGGTAAACACAAAGCTCTAGAAATTTATTCTAAATTGATAAAATAATTCATTTTGTTGGTCAATCTATCGCACCATAAGTAGCGTGAATGATGGAACACTATTTTATATCTATATATTGATAATGTAAACTATTTTCCTAGTCGACCTCCTCTAAAGGGCTAGGCAGCGGAAGGTTTTGTGACGACTTTTAGTCTTTTACTATATGATGACAGGGCGTGATATTGATGTTAACTAACATATAAGTGGAACTAATTATGTAGAAAATAAAATAGATAATCTGCCAGAAGTTACACTAATAATGTAAAATTCTTTACGTTGCCAGAGTATAAATCTTATGCACAATTAGTTGTATTGACTAACCCACAACAATGTAGTAATAAACGAAAAAGAAGTTAGAATGAGCAGCAGGGCGAAGCGGAGTCTGCCAAATGATTGTCTAGCTTATGATTTTTCATGTGTCGACACCTCCCACTATATTTAATTAAATTATTAATATGTTAAGCTTGTATGCTTAGTTATGTTTGTAAAACACATTTTAAATATTTTCGCTCGAATTATGGTACTATGGTGGTAAATAGTTTTTAAGATCTGTATCATGCTCGTTTTTTCCATTTAAATCTCTTTGTATTATCAAAAACAACAACTCGTACTAGATCACAAATAAAAGTTATATCCTTCTAACTAATTACTGCATGTGCTTGCGTTGTTATATCGTTCTCTCTGGCTTTATGGAACTACAAGCCGCAAAGATTTACCACAAGCATAAACGAAGTTGTTGTCGATATTGAAAACGTTCCTATTTACAACAACAAGGCCAAGTGAAATTGTGTACGCAGACCTTACCCCTAATGGAGGTAGAGAGGTTGTTTAAGAAGAAAACAAACAAACTATTATAACTACTACTACTACATTCCAATCCCAAATAAATTGAGGATAAAAGGCTTAATTAGAATAAAAATGAGAAACGAAAGAGGAAGAAGAAAAAAGGGCAAAGTTCTAAAGCAGTGGCAAAAAAGCCAGGAAGAAGGTATTGCAATATTAAAAGGTGAGCTTATAGAAGATTAAAAGACGATTTGGATGCAATTAGATTCACTGTATGTAAAAAAATATGCACGCAGAAAAAGGTGAAAGGTGGGAAATGGAGAAATTGGAGGGACAATATTTTTTGATTTTGGTTGATGTGTCTTTGTTGGTCCTTTTGTTCACTGCTTTTGGTAGTTAGAAGAGAATGGACTTTAGTGTTTTCAACCCTTAAAGCAAAAGAAGAAAAGACAATGCCAAGAAATGGATTGCACCGAGACACAATGTGAAGGAGTAACAGAGTTTTTTTTCTTTCTTTTCGGTTTGCCCGCATCTAATACTCGTATTAGAACCCGATTAATTTGAATTGCGTTGTGTAAGACTCATTAAGCACTCCGTACAAGAATATTTTTTATTTTCAGAATTCATAGTCGAGACCTCCTGTGGTCAAGAGTGAAGGAATCCTATTCATTTATTCAGGAAAGTTGGTAGTGGTGCGAGAGTTGGTTCCCAATTGAGACATCTCTTCTTTGGTAGAGCTATTTAGGTGGTCATCCTTTTGACCTAGTCATCAACATTAATATTCTAAAGTCTAAGCACTGAATATATCTCCATAAAAAGAGGTGCTATTTTCTGGCACATTATTTTCTTTTCATTATCTTTTACTTGTGGCAGGAAAATCCTTGTAGTTTGGTTCACTGATCCATGTACACTTTACAATAAGTTAAAATGAGAACTTGAAATTTGAGGATATTAATATGCTTAAGCTTTAATTTTAAAGAAAAAGTCCAAATTTTATTCAGTGATAGTGCATACTATTTTTACACAATGAGGTCGCTTAAAAATTAAATATATAAAGTTAAATCTCCTTAAGTACGGACAAGCTAGTAACCCCTCAAAGAGGTGATTAACCTTTCGTCAAGATTCATGTATTTCAATTCAGCAGAACTGAAATTCATCTGTGACCATTTGTTTGATATTGAAGTCTTGCGTTTGCTTTTATTTTGTTCTTTTTTGTGTTGACAAAGCGTGTTATTGTATAGGAAATACATCATGAATTGTTTATCTTATGTTTACAGTCAAACTTATCTATAATAGCCTCGTTTGTTCCGATATTTTTTGGCTGCTATAGTGAAGTGTTGTTATAGAAAGCATAAATTATAACATAATATAAAAATCGGTTCCAAGAAAACTTGGGTTTTATAGTGAATGGTTGTTATATAGAGATGTTATTATTGAGAAGTATGACTATAGTTCCTATCATATGTAGAATAATTATTGTACTTAAGTAATAATAATGAAGTGGTTATCTTACTATGTTCAGTTCCTATCATTTGTAGAATAATAATTGTGCCATAAGTCAAAAGCATATAAGTCCAGCTTCTGAAAATAATTCCTACTTTCACCTAATGTTTCCTTTCTGGCATATATCCTGCTGCAGTAGCTGCTGCTTCTTTTTTCCTAAATTTCTGATTTCTCCAGCTTGAACGTTGGGGTTATATTAAATTGAAGTTCACAGGAAAAGGATGGAGTAATAAAGTAAAATCTTTTGTGTTTAAGTAAAAATAACATAACAAATCTTAATTAAAATTTGAGACTATCATATAACATGTTGAAATTTCTGGCTAGAGGGAATATTTTAGGGCTGCATAATATTAATGGAAGGGGCCCAACAACACTAACAAGTAAAAATAGCACGGGCTATCCAGTTTTCGGACTGGTCATTCAAAAATAGTCAGCGTTTGCAAAGTTATTGAAAAATAGTCACTATTTTGCTGCAACACGGAAAGTTTCAGCATAATATACTGGAGACCGGTGCACCTGTGTATGAACTTCCAGCATATTATGCTGGAACTCCAACACGCGAAAAGTTCCAGTATATTATGCTGGGCCAGTATGTTATAGTGGAACTCAGCTCCAGTATAATATACTGGAAATCCAGTATAATATACTGGAGTATTTTTCCGAATTTTGAACAGTGTTTTCGTTCAGATTTATCTTTACATGAAAAGTGGCTAAATTTCGATTACTTTTGAAACTATGACTATTTTTGAATGACCGCTTGTAAATTTGGCTATTTTTGAATTTCTCCCCACTAACAATAACAACATACTAGTGTAATTCCACAAGTAGATCTAGGGAGGCTAGAGTATGTACACAAACCTTATCTTTATCTTGTAAAAATACATGTATAGATTTTCGGCTAAGTATAAACACAATAATTTTGAAGTAGTGGAGAACCTATGGAAAGAGAAACAATTATAATAGCTAGAAAAATATAAAAAAACAACATGTAGTAACTTTTACTAGGGCTGCATAATATTAATGGAAAGGGCCCATTTCTGCAAAATATATATGGTTTGATTGGAACAAGACTTCTGGAAGACAGATGCCATTTCATCTATCTGCTTTTGCCAGAACTATACTCGGACGTGATTGGAATTATGGTCATCTATCCTTCTAAATTCTATCCTCTTTCTCTGAAATTTCTTGGGGATCAGAGTTTCTCTTCTTTATTTTTTCTTTTCCAAAAAAAAAAAAATAAAAGCTATTGGCTCCATCCTATAAAAAGTCAAAATAATTGGTTGTGGAATATGAGGGTCAACACATCTGCTTTCGTATGAAATCAGATATTACAACAATAACAATTACTGTTATGCTTCAATTTCAAATAAGTTGTAGTTAACTAAATGAATCATCATTGTCGTCGCTCCATTTAAACTCAACTTATTTCAGTATTATAAAATTAAATTAGTCTCTCAAGCAATAAAAGTTCACTTCATTTTCTAGACATATAAGCCTTTGATAAGAGCAAAGACTCCTAACAAAAATTGGATCTACATGACTAATTGGTATCGCCTGTAGAGATCTTTTGTTCCGTTGTATCTTATTCAGTATTAATTCCTAAACTTTTAAAATGAATGTATATTTAGATGAAAAGTCTATGCCCACGTTTGGCCATAGATTTTGAATTTTTTAAAAAAAAAAATTAAAAACATTGGTTGTTCATGAAATATGATTACTTTTTGAAAAAAAAAATTCAAGTTCCCAAAAATTGGTTTAGGGCAGTTTTTTTGGGCGAAAATTTTTCTTCCACTCACAAACTTCAACTTTCTTTTTCAAATAAAGCATGTCTAAATACAATTTTAACTTTTAAAATATTATTTTTCAACACAATCTAAAAAACTCTTTTTCGAGTTTAAACCAAATTATGTCCAAACTTTACTATGTATCTTGTTTTTATTTTTTATTTTTAATATACATTTTGGTGGGAAGGGGGGTGGGTAAAAGATTTGCTACATCATCTTGAGAATTC